CCAAGTGTTCAGGGTGGCAGCTCATGCTCTTCATTTGCTTGCCTGTGACCCCACATCCTGAACTCCCTAGGCTTTCCCTGGGGAATGGTGTTTGCATGCTTCTACCCTAGGCCCCTGGAGGCCTGAGAGTAAAAGATGCAAAGAGGGACATTTGGGGGACTCAGATCTGCTTTCCCGGGCAGGTGGAGGAGCGGCGGGAGCGCTACATGGATTCCTATGACATTGTGCTGGAGAAGGACGAGACGCTGGACGTGGTCAATGGGCTGCTGCAGCACATCCTGAGCCAGGGCGACTACATGGAGCTCCAGGGCTCCTAAGCAGCACGGCCCGCCCCAGCCAGGCCCTGCAGGCACTGGTGAGGGGGAATGCCTGCCTACCAAGCCTCCTCTGTGAGCACTGAGAGAAGTCGAGGGCAGCCAAGAGCTGCTGGGCCCTCCTCACCCCTGAGTCCTTCCCCATGCCTTTGCCTTCTTCCTGCTAGAAAGCAGACAGAGGGAGGCCCCGCCTGTGGGAGGGCAGCAAGTGTGCTAACAAGTGAGCTGCCTAGTACACAGCATGTTAGCCTTCTACAGACCATCAAGTCCAAGTTTTCAGAGCTGGAAATACAGACGGCTCAGTGGTGAAGCCTAGCATGTGGCGGGCCCTCCTTCCCTTCCCCAGCACTGAAAAAAAAAAAACAAAACAAAAAAAAAAAAAAAAAAAAGGAAAAGCAAAAGTAAAGCTGTACATCAGATAAACACAATGTGTGAGTCAGAAATGAAAAACCGTAGCTCATGGTGTGCGAGTTGTGTGTGCAGCCTAGGCCTTGGTCCTCAAGGCACAGGACCCATAGGATTCTGGAGCTCCACAGAGCAAAGTTTGAGGACAGTGGGAAAGCTTAGAAATCCCATGTGAGTGCAGTCTGACTCTGCCTGCAGCCCGAATCCCAGAATAGCCCAGGAGCGTGTCTGTAGGTCACAGTATGTGTGTCTGGGAGAGTAAGGATGGACAGGTGTGATCCTGACCTGGAATGGGTACAGCCTTGGCTTGAAACTGGCTGGTACTGTCTGAGACACCCCCACATACACAAAGGATCCATTTGAGTATGGATTTTCCCCATGTCCTTGGATCTTTCCTCTACTTTTTGGTCCAGTGCCACCGATATAATGACCTGGAAGGGATTTTATTTTTTATTTTAATTCATGTATGTGAGTGTTTTGCCTGCATGGATGTATGTGCACCAGATGTATGCCTGGTGACTGCAGAGGTCAGAAGAGTGTGCTGGATCCCCTGAAAATGGAGTTACCAATGATTGTTATCCACCACGTGGGCTCTGGGAACTGAACCCGGATCCTCTGCAAGAGCAGCCAGTGCTCGTAACCACCAATCCACCTCTCCAGCCCCCTTAAAGGGATTTGAGACCAGACCCCTAGAAGACTGCAGGGCAACCCAGAAGGAATTGATGCATTAGGACCTTGCCATATCAGTTGTCTATAGTTTCCTTCCCTCTGTGTTCTGTAGAGAATAAAGAACTAGGGGAGTTCTCCCTGTGGCTCTTGTCAAAGAACAAGCAGAAGAGCTGGTTCTCCTGGACTTCTGAGAAAGTTGTTCATACATCTTCCGGTCCAGGAGGCTGGTTATCCAAAGTGCTGTTAGCTGCAGAGCTGAAGGGAAAGGGAACCCAGGACTAGCAAATGCCTGCTGAGTGTAGGTGCCGTGCTGGGCACCTACACACCTGCCATTTCATTCTCAGTGACTCTCAGCAGAAACCCTCATTTGCAGGTGGGTAGCTTAGACAAGATGAAAAACTTGCCCAGACATAGCTAGGAGCTAGAGCCAAGTTCTGAGTACTTCTAGCCAAAGCCTGTGCCTATTCTCCATCTGGTTGTGTTTCTCAGCTTTATTTCAGGACTGTCCTGGTTTTTGTTGGAGCTGGGCACTATGACTGGTTCAGGATCACTGGCTAACCTCTAGATCTTTCTGGAAGCTTTGATGACAAGGAGTGCCAATCACCGGCCTCCAACAATAATCATGGCTGAAGATCTTAGAGTGTGTTAGTTTTCTATTAGTGTAACAAAATACAGCAATCAATGGAGAGATTACTTATAGTTTGGGAGATTTCAGTCTGTGAACACTTGGTCCCATTGCTTTGGGCCTGTGGTGGCAGAGTAGTCATGGCAAGAGCACATGGTGGAGGAGGCCCATTTGCCTTATGGTGGCCAGGCCACAAAAGAGAAAAGAGACCAGGGCCCCACAATCCCCCTCAAAGAACACCAAATTGTCTTAGTTCCTTTTCTATTGCTGTCACAAAATAACTGAAGCACTTAGGAATGTGTTAAATTGGACCTGTGGTTTCAGCTTAGAACCCATGATGGTGCACACAGCAAAGGCGTGGTAGCAGGGATAGCTGGGAGTTTGAGATGATGTACAAACAGGAAGCAGAGAGTACCCTGGGGGTGGGGGTGGAGGTGGGGGTGGGGAGATCCTTTTGAAGCCTCAAAGCGTGTCCCCAAGACATAGGGCCTCCAATAAGACCAGATCTGATCCTTCCCAAACAGCACTACTAATTGGGGACCAAGTATTGGAACATATGACTGTGTGGGGTGAGTCTCATCCAAACCACCATGCCACTGATTTAAAACCTTGCACTAGGCCTTCTCTTGGCACCTTGGGCTGGAGATCAAGCCTTGGGGGCCACCTGATACCAAACTGTAGCACTGGGCAAGAAGATAATGCTTAGGAACAGTTTGGAATTGAGTGTGGCCTTGTTATTTTCTGTAAAGACCCACTCTGTGCTCAGAAAGCCCAGGGCATCTGTCACAGTGGGCAGAGTGAGGCAGGCAAGTTAGGGCACACAGACTGGTTTGCAGAGGTATTTCTCTCTAGGACTGCAAAGATCTGCTCAGTTCCCTTTCCTCTGGCAAGATGGAGAGGAAGTTGGGAATGCTACAGTGCTGAAAACGGATCGGTGTGAACAAGTGCAATCCAGCCTTTGTGGCTCACTTTGGGTCTTGAGCTCTGGGGGTTGTCTGCAGTTAGGGACATTGTTTCTGCCTTCAGATGAGACAATAAGAGGACAACGATCATCTCTATGCCTCTCCTGCAGATCCTCGTCTCTGGCCACTGACTCTCAAGGAGTTAGTTAGGTTTGAGGGAGGCAAACAGGAAGATCGCTGTCTGGAGTCTGCAGCTTATGAGACTGGCTGGCTTGTGCCCTTTCTGCCCCTGCCCTTGGGTTACACGTGCTCTCCTGGGCTGGAGAGATGGCTTAGCCAATTAAGCTATGCTTATTGACCATGCAATCACAAGTCAGAGTTTGATTCCCAGAAACCATGTAACAAAGAGCAGGGTACAACATACATCTTCAATCCCAGCTCTGATTTCCAAGCCAACTGGTCTAGTCTAATTTTTGACCTTCAAGTTCAATGAGAGAGCCTGTCTGAAAAAAATAAGGTATGTAAGGGGCAGAAGAGATGGCAGCAGCCCAGCCCAGTGGTGCACACCTTTAATAGCACTTGGGAGTCAGGGGCAGGCAGCTCTCTCAAGGCCAACCTGATCTACATAGCATGTTCCAAGACAGTTACAAAAACAGACCTGTCTCAAAAAAGAGGGCGGAGGAGAAAAGGCTCAGTGGTTAATGGCACTGGCTGCAAAACCACATGGGCTGAGGGGTGGGTTGGACAGATACTACCTGTTATATAAAGCTGGAGGGGAACCTTGTCAATTCCATGGCAGGCAAGGGTGACTGAGGCGGTAGACAAACATGCCAGGCAGACAGAGCTTGAGTGAGAAGTTTCATTAGAAAGGGAAGGGAGGAGGTAAAGAGACACAGAGACAGAGAGGAACAGCAGGAAAGAGCAGAAGTGGGTGAGGGTGTTTCTTTTAAAGGGTCCTTTGCACCTGCATGCAGACTATGTAGTGATGTGGCAGCCACGGAAACCTGGGCTGTCCAGAGTACTGCCTGAGTGCGTTCTGCCAGGTGACGGGCAGGCCAGCATGATGCCTGAATCCCTACACACCCATATCCCCTCCTGTGTGTGTTTGGAAAAAAAAAAAAAAACACACACAAAAATTATGGTTTTGAGTTTTTTTTTTTTTTTTGAGACAGTTTCTGTGTGGCCCTGGCTATCCTGGAACTCACTCTGTAGGCTGGTCTCAGATTTACAGAGATCTGTCTGCCTCTGCCTCCTGAGTGCTGGGATTAAAAGTGTGTGCCACCACTGCCCAGTTATAAAAAATAATCTAAAAAAAAAAAAAGAAAAAGCATTGCTCTTCCAGAGGACTTAGGCTGGACTCCCAGCACCTACATGGCAGTTCACTATCATCTATATCTCCAGCCCCAGGAGATGCAATGCCCTCTCCTGGCCTCTGAGGACACCAGGCACACGTATGGTGCACAGACATGCCTGCAGGATAAACAGTCACACATAAATAAATGAAAGTATAAAAGACATGCATACAGGCAAAACATCCATCCGTACGTACATGCACACACACAAACACTAATTAAAAATAATAAGGGGGCTGGAGAGATGGCTCAGAGGTTAAGGACACTGGCCGCTCTTCCAGAGTCCTGAGTTCAATTCCCAGCAACCACATGGTGGCTCACAACCACCTATAATGAGATCTTGTGCCCCCTTCTGGCCTGCAGGCATACATGCAGACAGAAAACTGTATACATAACAAATAAATAAACTTTAAAAAAATAAATAAAATAAGCTGGGCGTTGGTGGCGCATGCCTTTAATCCTAGCACTTGGGAGGCAGAGGCAGGCGGATCTCTGTGAGTTCGAGGCCAGCCTGGTCTCCAGAGCTAGTTCCAGGATAGGCTCCAAAGCTACACAGAGAAACCCTGTCTCGAAAAACCAAGAAAAAATAAATAAATAAAATAATAATAATAATAAGGTAGAGAGAGATTGCTGAACATACCAGATGTCAACCTCTGGTCTCCACACACATGTGAACATGCTTATATACAATACCCTCTCCACAGGGCCCGCTGAAAGACCACCTCTTGAGGCCTTCGGTTTAACCTTTTATTGTCACAAAGGAGAAAGGATTGGATCAGTTTAGCCTTTGAGAGCCCAGAACTCTGCCTCCCTCCCTCCCATCAAATTAGCACCAAGTGCAGGTTTGCACAGCCCTGAAGCCTGGGCAGGTGTCCTCTCACACACCCTTTCCTTTCCCAAAAGACAAAAACCTGACCCCGGTGGTCAGGGAGGAGGCTGCATGAGAAGGGTGGCTGGCAGGACTGTGTTCCTGAGGAGCGGGCAGAGATGGTGTAGAATGCGGGGGAATTCCTCACTCATGCCCCTGGGGAGCTGCCAAGACAGAGGGAATGGGGACAGACATGGACAAATAAAGGGCACATTTGGGAAAGTGAAGGACCGGGGAGCTCACCCTTGCTGAGTCTAGTGTGTGGGTGGGAGGTATAGATGTGTGGGGTCAGCAACGACCCGAACCAAACACCAGTGCCCCTCCCCAGATTGGATTTATTACGTCAAGAACCTTAAGGAAGAGGTGTAGGGCTGGGAAGAGAAAAATGCAGAGGTCTGTGTTGTGGACTGGAAACCACGGCCAGTGAGAAGGTCACCGCAGTCTCTGATGACATCCAGTGACTCCCACAGTTATCCCCACTGAGGGAGGGGTGCTGTTGTCAGCCAGTTCCCCTGCCACTGTCCCCTGGCCGAGTGCCTTTGCGTCTGAGGTCAGACCTGAGACTCTGGCCCTCAGAGCTCCTCATGGATCTGCTCCCGGTCCTCGTCTGACTTCAGCTTGAGTTCCTCGGCTGTGATCTTGCCATCCTGGTTTCGATCCTGGTTCTGAAACATGTCTCCTATGGTTTTGTCAGGGTCTTGCCCAGGCATGAGGCGTCCTTTGCCCTCATTCACTTGAGCCTTGATGAAGGAGGAGAACTAAAGGAGGGAGAGCAGAGACGACAAAGCAGTGAGGATCAATGCCAACAGCTGTGGGTGGCCTCGGGAAGGGGCCTCAGGTGGAGCCCAACATTGTTTCCCCTGGCCTGATACCCGGGGAATTGGGGGTAGGGGGTAGCCAGAAAGCAAGTGAGCATGCTGGCTTTCAGGTTGGGGTTGTGACTAAGTTCCCAGCCTACCTCTTCTGGGGGCACCTCTCCATCTTTATTGAGATCCATGTCTTCAAACAGGCTGGCTGCAGGATCCTGGTGCCACACAAACAGGTAGCCTGTGGGCAGGCCATCCTCTCGGGATACCAGCTCCACCTCAAATAACAGGACAGCACTGCCAGGAACACCCCGGGCTAGAGAGAGAGGGAAGAGAGGAGAACAGGGGTCCAGTGAGGCCTGAAGCTAAGCCTTAACACAGGCCTTAGTTTTCTCTCATGGAAGGCGCATGGGATGTTTAGGACTTAATCCTAAAAGTTTCCCTCATTCCACCCCTCAGCCACCAAGGTCTGAGGTGGGCAGGGCAGACTGGGGGTAGACGTGGGATCCAGGTCGAGTCCCTCACCTCCACTCTCCCCATGGGCCAGGTGTGGGGGCACAATGAGCTGCCGCCTCTCTCCCACACACATGCCCTGCAGGCCCCTGTCCAGACCTTCGATCACTTTGTTGGCGCCAAGGGTGGCCTGTTGAGGGGCCTCATAGTCGTGGCTGTGGGGAAATTGGATTGCCAGGTCAATGGCAGAGGTATCTGAGGACTCATCTCTTTGAACTGCTTCCTTATACTAGAACAGCAGTTTTCTCTCCCTGTAGCTCATCCCCCCCCCCTTGCCCCATATTTCATATCCATGGCTCCCTGAGACTCACTCAGATGGGGACTTGTGGAGGAATTGAGAGACTGTGAGACCAGAGAAAGGAGAAAGGGCCTGCAAGCTATTAGAAGCCCACCCATACCTGAGCCCACCACCTGCCCAGCCCTGGCCCTGCCCAAGAACCCACGAAGAGAACAGCCTGGTGCCATCCAGCAGAGAGCAGTTGTAATGGTAACGAATGAAGTCCCCAATCTTGGATGTCTCGTTGCAGTTCTCAGGTGGCCGGAACAGTGTCTTGATTTCCACAGGGTCTGAAGGGTTGTGGAAGTCGATGACATGCACGTCAAAGATGAGCACGGCTGAGCCCGGGATCTTGTCTCCTGAGGCCAGATGGGACATGGTTAGCTCAGGGCTCTGGGTGAGGGCGGCTCACTGTCTCCATGGGGCCCAGCCTGGCCACCCTTTCCCAATCTCAGGGAGTCATATGAGGTCAGATGACATGTTCTAGAGTGAGTGCTTCCTACATCTTACTGTTGGAGTGACAGGACAGAGAGGCAGGGAAACCCTTTTCCACCCAACACCTTGCAAGCAAGCTCCCAGTAACATCTTCCTATGAGTGGTTCCCAGCGCACCAGTGAGGAGCCTGAGGCTCCCAGAATCTCTAATACAGGCCTCTTTGCTCAGTGGTGCTGTTTATTCTTAACCATCCTCTGTCCCCAAACTTAGGAGTTGGCTGCCTTTCTCCACTGGGGGAGGGGTTTGGGGAGGAAGTGAGATCTGCCTTGAAGGAACAGGATAGGGTCAGCCTGGTAGAGCGCCAATGGGTGACCAATATAAGCTGTACATGCTTGGGCAATGGGAGGGACAGCAATCCAAGGGGTACACTTAAGAGGAGCTGAGGGGTAGCCTGGGAACCAAACCCTACCTGTCCCATTCTCCCCGTAGGCAAGGTGAGGGGGCACAGTAATCCTCCTTCGTTCCCCTATGCATGCGCCCTGCAGCCCCTGGTCCATCCCAGGGATGATGTAACCCTGCCCAACATAGGTATTGTAGGTGTGGTTGCGGGAATAGCTGCAATAGAGGGGAAGGGTAGGGAGGGAGTCAAAAGGGCCCTGCCCCCTCCAGTCCCGCCCCTTCAGAGTGCCCCTCAACCCCCACCCTCCCACCTCAGGGGACCCTCCGACCTGGAATCAAAGAGGGTACCATCCATTAAAGAACCATTGTAGTGGTAACGCATGAAGTCCCCTGCCACGGCTCGCCGGACACAGTCCCGGGGCAGCTCCAGTGTCTCCAGCTGAACTGTGTCCTTCGGGTTGTGGACATCAATCAGCAGGACATAGAAGACCAGGGAGGCCTGCGGGGGTATCACAGTCCCTGGGGAGGGCACAGGGCTTGAACCATACAGTTGGGAGCAAGCCCAGGCTCAGCAAGGGGCCTCATGCAAAAAGAGCTACTCTGCCCTCCTATGTTCTCCTCCTTTGGTTGTCCCCAGAGCTATCATCAACCCATTTGGAGCCTTTGTGTAAATCAGAATAAAGGAATTCTGTCTGGGGAGGGAGATTTCATCTCCACTTGCCTCCTTGGCTGGATGCCCTTGCACTGAATACGATCCGTAGAGCCCTGGTTGCCCCTCTTCTAGAAGGAGAGTTCCCCTGCACCCTTGCCTTACCATAGCCTTTCTCCCCATAAGCCAGGAAGGGAGGAATGACAATCTTCCTTTTCTCTCCAGGACACATGCCCAGCAGCCCTTGGTCCATGCCTTTAATCAGCCAACCAGAGCCGATGTAGGTGTCGTAAGTGCCTCCCCTACTGTAGCTGCAGAGAATAAGGCAAAGACCCTGTGGCTGGAGGTGAGGGAGGCAGAACAGACCAGGGCTCCCTGCTCTTGTTCACATGTGCCAGGCTTTAGGGCTCCTCCCAGGTTCTACCTGTTGTCAAAGTCAGTGCCATCCAGCAGAGTGCCGTTGTAGTGATAGCGCACGAAGTCACTGTTCTGCACCATGCGGGGGCAGTAAGGAGGGCGCAGGAGGATGGTCGTTTGCACCGTGTCCGCCTTGTTCCACACATCCAGCAGGACCACGTCAAAATAGAGGGTGGCATCAGGGGGAATGAGGCCCGCTGTGGGGAAGCAGCAAAGGCCAAGTTTACAGAAGTCCCCATACCATCTGCTACACCTCTGACCCTAGCTATCATCCTTCCTAGCCAAGCTGTGACTCCACACAGGGCTCTGTATCCATCTCCTCTCACCCCAGAGTCAAACAATGGCCACAGCCCCTACCAATCAGAGTACACGCAGTGTGACCTTGGCCAAGTCACTCAGCCCCTTTGAGCTTCAGCTTTCTATCTACTCCTGCTTCCTGCCCGCCCCTCCCCCAACCGCCGTGCCCATACCCCAGCCTCCTTACCCACACCAATGCTGCCGTAGCCCAGGTGGGGAGGCACAATGAGACGACGGCGCTCGTTAACACACATGCCCATGAGACCTCTGTCCATGCCAGTGATGAGGCGGCCTACACCCACAATGATGGCCGCCAGGGTGGTGCGGTCATAGCTGGGGAGTAAAGGGACAATGGGCATGCATACAGCTACACGATACCCTCTGCCCACAGTCAAAGACACAGGACATGGTGCAGCGCACACACACTCCTCACTTCCTCTCCTCTCCAGGTCTCTATCCTGGGCTAGCCCTTCTGCCTCACTTAGGGCAACAGAATGGATGGGTATGGTGGCACACAACTTTAATCCCAGCACCCCAGAAGCAGAAGCAAGTGGATCTCTGTGAGTTCAAGGCCAACCTGGTCTAAATAAGGAGTTCTAAGATAGCCAGAGCTACGTAGAGAAACCCTGTCGTCGTCATCATCATTATCAAGGACAAGCTGTTACAAGAGAGATACCCCAGAGGAGATCAGAAGCTTTTATTCTGGGTGGGTGGGTGGAGAAGATAAGTCTGTCTGCTACTCATTGCTACTTCTTTTTTTTTTAAATTATTTTATGTATATGAGTGCTTTGTTTTCATCCATATCGGAAGAGGACACCAGATCTCATAACGGATGGTTGTGAGCCACCATGTGGTTGCTGGGAATGGAACTCGAGACCTCTGGAAGAGCAGCTAGTTAGTGCTCTTAACTGCTGAGCCATCTCTCCAGCTCCCTTATTGCTACTGATAGCATAGTTCAGAGGGCAAATGAGTATTTATTGAGGACTTACTATATGTTAGATTAAGTGCTTGGCACTTTACATTCATTAATTTCCCTCAATTTTCTCCCCAAGAGGGCATTATTGTTTTCAGTTTTTCTTTTTCTTCTTTATTCTGATACTGGGGACAAATCTAGGGCCTCGCATAGGCTAGGCAAGCACCTGCTACTGAACTACATCCCAGATATCCTCACTGTTTGTTTTTCCAAGACTGTCTTTCCCTGTGTAACCCTGGCTGTCTTGGAACTTGCTCTGTAGACCAGGCTGGCCTTGAACTCAGAGATCTGCCTGCCAAGTGCTGGGATTAAAAGCATGAACTACTAGCTTTTTGTTTCATTTTCTAAGAGAAAAACTGAGACCTGACAGACTCATTGCCCCTCCTGCAGTCACAGCTCGTAGTTTCTGCCACTGAGCATCCATTCTGCAGAGAACAGGAAGCACAAGAGATGAGATGGGAAGCAGCCTTCCTCAGAAGAAAGCCCATTTTAAACTTACCCTGGCTTGCATTGGTTTTCACAAGTAAAGAGCTATCTGTTTAAAGAAAAAAGAGATTTGTGTATGTATGTATGTATGTCTGTGGGTGTGTGCACACTTTTGTGTGCACCTTTGCACACATGCAGAGGCCCCCAAAGGGCACTGGGTGTCCTCATCGAGCACCCTATGGCTAGTCTTTTGAGCTTCTCTCCCTGATCCTAGGTATCCACAGGATGCCCAGTTCCTCATATGGGTGCTAATCCTTATAATGATTGTACAGCAAGTACCCTTAATTATTGAGCCACTTCTGCAGTCACCCGTCCCCTGGTCTTTGAGACAGGTGGCATTTGTAGCCCTGGCTGGCCTGGAACTCTCTATGTAGTCAAGGATGACCTTGAATTTATGGTCTTCCTGCCTTTCCTCCTGAATGCTGGGATTGCATGTGTATGCCACCATATCCAGTTGATATGGCTCTGGGGATCCCAGGACTTCATGAATGCTGGGCAAGTATTCTAACTGAACTACACTCCCAGCCCCAAGAATGGGATAGTAATTTTTTTTAGATTTATTTTATGTATTTGAGTGTTTTGCTATGTGTCTATGTACCATGTGCACACCATGTCTGGTGTCTATGGCTGTCAGAGATCCTACTATAAGAGTTCTGGGAGACAAACTCAGATCCTCTGCAAGAACAAGCACTCTTAACCGCTGAGTCATCTCTCCAGCCCCAGGAGATTCTATTTTGGTTGAAGGCAGCCAAGGGTTAAAGTGTTTTCTAGCAGGGCAGTGGTGGTGCCTTTAATCTCAGCACTCAGGAGGCAGAGGCAGGAGGATCTCTGGGAGTTCGAGACCAGCCTGGACAGCCTCCAAAGCCACAGAGAAACCCTGTCTCAAAAACAAAAATAAAAAAAATGGGCCCAGCCAGGCGGTAGTGGTGCACGCCATTAATCCTAGCACTTGGGAGGCAGAAGCAAGAGGATCTCTATGAGTTCGAGACCAGCCTGGTTTACAAGTTCCAGGACAGCCTCCAAAGCTACAGAGAAACCCTGTCTCAAATAAAACAAACAAACAAACAAAAAACCAAAAAAAAAAAAAAAAAAAAAAAAAAAAAAAAAACCACCTCCTCCTCTATCACAGCCTGGATTCGAACCCAGGATCTTACACTATGGAGACAGTATTCTCATGCAGTCCACAGTCTCCCTCCAGAGTCATGACCACTAATTTCTTGTGGGCTGAACTGTATATGTCAGAGAAGAGACTGAAGGATGACTCTTCCTTTTTGGTGTAGAGTTTCAAGTGGGATAGGGCCTGAAGTTTACATTATAGCCTGGAAAGACAGCCCTGCTCTGTCCCCAACAACCAAAGGGGATCTGCCTGTCTGACCGAGGACCTGGGTCAGAATGGAAGCCTGTCTGTCCCTCAAGCCAAGGCTGGCAATGCAGCCTAGTGTTGGCTGCTAAAACTAAGATGGGGGAGCTGAGTCCCAAGACTTGGAGAAGGTGGCAGGGAGATCCCCAGGGTGGAATGTCACGCTTGTGACACGTGGACAGTTGGACACAGCACCAGCTATGGCCTACCCCAAAATTACAACGCCCACGCCCACTCTGCTTAAGGCCCTCCCTGGCTTCCTGGGGTCCGATGATGCCCTACAGAAAATGTTACCTCTCTAGTCTTCTCCAAAGGCATAGGAAATGGGAAGTGGAGGTAGACAGGGAGCCCGGGTGTGTGGCAAGGCAGGTGGCCCCAGGGTTCACATGCAGTGTGCACGGTCTCTTTTCCTCCTAAGAGTGTTACCAGGGTACCGCTCATGTCTTTAAATAAGTAACTGGAAAATAAATGCGCACTTCACGGGAGCGTCAAGTATTCTGGGGGGTTGGAAGTGTGCGTGTGTGGGAGGGCGTCTTTCGGGAGTTGAAGATTTGGTATTGAAGACAGGGCTGCCTTGAAAAGGGGCCCTCCCCGGGGTGCTGTTTGGGGCTGGAGGTTGTGGGAGGAATACAGGAATGCAAAGCTTACAAGGGGCTACATTCCCTGGACTCTCGGGAAAGTGGTGTTGAGTCTGGGGATGCCCAACGTCTTACCTGGAGTCAAACTTCTTCCCATCTTCGAAAGTGCCATTGTAGTGGTAACGCACAAAATCCCCCATCTGCACTTCTCGGGGACAGGCCCTGGGGATATGGTACCTATCGATGACCACATCTTCCAAGGGGGCTCCGGAGGGGCTGGCACGGCCCAGCCCCCTCTCCAAGATCTGTAGAAGCAGCAGCAACCGCAGGATGGGCAGCCGGCGGAGGGTGTGGCTGGCGGACCCCGCAAGGAACATGGTGCCCAGATGGAGGACGCCGGCAATGAGGGCAGGCGCCGGCCGTCAGCCTCCAGCCTCCTTCCCCCTCCTCAGAGCTGACTCCCCCCCTTCCTGTCCTCTCTCCCTACCCCGCCCTGGCGAGTCCACGTGGAATGGGGGCTGGGGAGACTGAGCTGGCCGGGTGGGGTGCTGTTTGTGTGGACTAGGAGGAGGGGGGCCCCGTTGAGAGTCTCTGGAGTCCCTGGAATTTGCCACAAAGATCTCTGAGTCTCTCTCCCCGCAAACTTCGGGCCTGGCCCAGAGGGAGGCTCGGGAAAGCTGAGAAGTAAGAATGGACTTCCAAAAGAAAGTTTTGGTTTTTTTTTCCTGAGCCTCTGGGTCCTAAAGCTGGTTGGAGGCATCTGTAGCTTTTCCTGGCTCCCCAAATCTAGGCTCCTCTGGTGGCAGGTGAGGCGGGTAATCTGAAGGATATCTCAGTCCTTCCCCCTGCCCCAACTTTCTTCCCGGGAGTGGAGGGGGTGGGGGGTGGGGGGAGGTGCTCTACGTGAAAGGTAGCTTTGTCCTGCAAAAGCAAGGCTACTAGCAAGACACAGGGATCAGACTCAGTCGCGAGACTGGCAGTGTCAGTGCCAGGTGTGCGGGGTAACACGAGTTGTGTTGCCCCCTCGACGCCGGCGCGGGGCCGCCTAGAGGGTGCCAAGGGAGCTCTGGAGAAAAGATCAGATTCCGAAGCTTCACCCGGAGCATAGACAAAGTGGAGAGAGGTGGCACTTGAGGTGGGGGGACGACGACGCTGCTGCCGGTGGGGAGGGGCTTTCTGGGCGTGAAATATAGCCCCACCTACCCGGGTTCGGGTGAGCCCTGCAAGTGTGAGACGTGCAGACCACGTAGCGGACTGGAGCGACAACTGACCCTCCGATAGAAGAGGGCTGTCCCAACCTCCCTGCTCTAGCCCGGGGCCCGGCGCTAAGACCCAGCAGGGGCTCCGGGGGTAGGGGTGGGGGGCTGGAGCCCGTCGGTCCTCCGGCTGCTCCGGGAGCCTCGGGGCGCGGCGCGGGCATGGCTCGCCCCGGCGGGGGGGGGGGGGGGGCGGCGGCTGGGGGGGGGGGGGG